CAACCCATGTTTAAGGCAAGCAATGGCATCGATACCAACCATAGGTTAGGTCACAAAACCCTTTGGAAAACTAGAAAATATAATAATGTTACAAAATGTAATAAAAATAAATTTTTGATAATTCATATCATTTGTTAAAAAATCAATTCATACGCCAATATCAGTGCAGTGTTTGACACAAACGGCTTCATTCCTATCCAATGGTCCGTTACATCCATTTCCCCTGGGGTTCACTACATTGCCAACTATTTGGCCACCAATTGATTTGTCAGCCCCGGGAATGTCACCCGAAATGTCTGGTTTTGCATAAATTACTTGCAATACAATCAATACCACAAGTAATGCATAAAATATAACTCGCGATTGCATTGTTTATGTGTTTCGATGATAATATTACACTCAAAATTGAATTGTGAGTGAATTTCTTATGAAATTCTGTGAATTCAATCACTTTATATATGTTTTGAAACTATTTTTATTGTACTTTTTCCAATTCATTAAATTGTTTTATTGTGGCAAAAATTTCCAACAATTTGTTTAGTAAACAAGTGATGGATATTATCTCATAATGTAATGGAATTTTGGTTATTGTGTTTTAGTAGTAAACTAAAAAATTGCTATAATTATAAGCAAAAAAGTTTTATTGTTGTGTTTTCTTCAAATCCCTTGAGTCAACAAACTTGTTATTTGTTTGATTAAATACAACTACTGTATAACGGATCTGTTTTCCATTAAATACAAGTCATTAAAACTCGGGTGATTCATAAGATTATGACATAATATTAATTCAAATTTAAAATAAATTAAAAATCAAGAATATTCCGATCAGGTTTTGTAATACATTTGTATCCAATAAAACAGTATTTTGTTATCCATTCGTTAGATGTCTATATCATCCATACTATGACTCGCATATTACAGGAATATTTATTGTACAGAATTAGTTATAATTAATTTATTGTTTAGAAATCTAATTATTAAATTATGCAGGATATATAATATTAGGTCTGCCTAATTTAAGGTCATATATGGATAGAAGGGAATTAGCTGTTTAAATGGGATGCCTTTAGATTTTA